GTGGAGATGCTGCGAGGGCTGGAGCCCCTCTGCTGGGAGGACAGGCTGGGAGAGTTGGGGGGGTTCAGCCTGGAGAAGAGAAGGTTCCAGGGAGACCCTAGAGCCCCTTCCAGTGCCTAAAGGGGCTCCAGGAGAGCTGGGGAGGGACTTTTTATGAGGGCATGGAGTGATAGGACGAGGGGGAATGGCTTCAAACTGGAAGAGGGGAAATTTAGATCAGATATCAGGAAGAAATTCTTTCCTGTGCGGGTGGTGAGCCCCTGGCGCAGGTTGCCCCGAGAAGCTGTGGCTGCCCCATCCCTGGAGGTGTTCAAGGCCAGGTTGGACGGGGCTTGGAGCAACCTGGGTTGCTGGGAGGTATCCCTGCCCAGGGCAGGGGGGTGGAACTGGATGGTCTTTAAGGTCCCTTCCAACCCAAACCATTCCATGGTTCTGTGTTCTCCATCACCCTGGCAGTGCTCAATCATGAGATATGGGCAACATCCTCTGTTTATTCTGTAGCTTTCACGCAGACACAGGAGGACACAGATTATGGATAGCTTACTACTCACCAGAAGCTGAGATGTATGCAGATTTGCCAAATGATCAGACTGCGTAAGGTAAATTTAACTCTTCACAGCCTGTTTCAGGTAAATGTGATTCTGTAACATGGAAGAGTTTTGGTGTACTGTCAGAACCTGAAGGACCTAAGTGTACACCCACACCAGGACTTCTATTCCACTACGTTATGCTAAAAAATTGCCTTTTCTGCCTCACAATGACTGGAAAAAATAGGCTGACAGAAAACACATACCGTAACACAAAAAACCCAAAAGAATTAATTTAACAAAAATAAGTTTGCTGTCATATGAGGCAATAGGGAACTCATGTATAGTCTGTAAACTCCAATTTTTTCCAGAGATTCCAGCAGGGGAACACACTTACTATCTGTCTTCTGTTATTTGTTTTCTATCCATTGCTGGAAAGGAGTTTTCACTTAAAGCAATACATCTGTTTAAAATATCCTGGAGCGTGCAACTATCAAACAGGTAAACATGAGAATAACTGATGAAGAGGTGTCCCTGAAATGAGGGTGGAACTCCTGTTTCAGCACACACTTCCCATTCCTGTCTCATTGCTCCTCAGCATCAGATTGAATAACAAACATCAAACATTGCCCAAAGAACTGTTTAGTCCGGGGCACGGAACGCAGCTCAGTGCCATCGCTCACACAAATCAACGGCCGTCAGCGAGCGCAGAGGTGAGGCGCTGGCCGGGCTATAACAAAAAGGCCACCGTTTAATCCCAAAGTCTATTTGTTGCCTATCCTCCCAGCCTGTGCTTGCTCGGCCAGGCCGGCGTCACCGCGGTAAATCTGCGGCTCCTTCCATCTTGTCACCAAATCCTTTCTTCACCTCGGCGACTGCCTGAGCCACGCGGGAGCGATGCTGCTGTTCCCACGGGAGGCTGAGGAGCAGCAGCACCCCATAGCATGGCCGCCTTTACTCACCTCCGCTTGCCGCGTTGAAGGAAAAAACCTGACAAATCTGAAATTGGAACAGCACACGATGGGTTTTTAGAGGTTCTGACTCTCCCGGGTGGAGTTTTGTGTCGAAGAACCGCTGAAGCATCAATACACTGACGTTTCTGGGGGACGACAGTACAGGATGAAGAACGTTTATCTGCATTTATGTCACACGCCCCAAAGACTGTCAGCAAATGACATGCAGCAGCAGCAGTTTCTTTTCTTTCCCTTCATCCACATCTTCTTTGATTTCTATTCCTAAATAAAATAGATTTTTCCAATTTTTTCCAGAAACAGTGCACAGGAGGTGTAATTAGCTCACGCCGCTGCTCATGAACAGTTACAATACTGAGTTGAGGGGGGGAAGCAGATAAAACAGCAAAGTGAGGTTTTCTCATTTGGTGTTGCTAATTAAAGAACGTGTTTCTGCTTGTGTTTTTTCTCTTGGAAACAGATAATGGATGCATCAAAGAGCATAGAAGACTTGCACAGAGAAATCAAGGCTGTCACAGAAGAAACCATGCAGGAGGTTCAGAATAAACCTTTGGGAGAACTCTGGAAATAAAACTTTATGCGGGTTATTCTTTTAGACCCCAGAGAAAACTCCCCTTTTGGATCTTCCTCGCTGGGGAGACTCCCCTCCGTCACCTTCCAGTAACTACAGCTTAGATCCCATGTACTCTTCTGGATCCAGCACGGTGCTGATGCCCTTGTGATTTTATCTGCTCCTCCCCTCCATCCTGCACAGCCACTGCTGGATTTTATAAATGAACACGGGATGAGCATGTAATAAATCCCTTAGAAAAACCTCCCTCTTGTTCCAGCCACAGTCCTGGAGCGGGGGCCCCATCCTGGACACGGACAGCAGCAACAGGCAGGCAACAGCCTTCCCAGTTTCAGGGAACTGCCACGTTTCCAATGCCTCTGCCTCTCTAGTAAATGCATCCCCTGTGCTGAAAACTGTTTGTAGAGGACTTGCTAATAAACGAGGCTTTTAAACATTTTGCACGGGGCATTTCTTTTTTTTTTTCAGTATGATCATTTATCTCCTAGGAGGATACATGGGAGGTGAAGATGCTGCGGTTCAGGCACTAAATGCAGGGAGAGTGGTTTGCTGGAGTGAAGGGAGAGATGAATTCAAGGCTGCTCCTCAGCTGTTCGGTGAGAATGCTACAGAAACTGAACTCCTATGAGCAGGTAAGAGCCTGAAATGGATTTATGAGCTCATAGCAAGACCGGTTTGAAGGGTGAGTGGCACATAAATTACTTTAGACGGGTCAAGTTACTCCTGCGGCCAAGATCAGAGGAAGTCACCTGTGACTCTTACACGGACCCCAGTGCCATGTCAACAGCCCGGCACAGGCTGCCAAACCAGATCAGCTCTGAATTCACCTAAGTGGTCAGTAACGACCAGCAAACTACAATAAACTGGAAGATGAAATCGGATCATTTGCAAGATGCACTGAGGTACAGGCATGACCAGGAGAGTTAACTATCCAGCAGATACAGACATTAACTCACCTTCTAGCCGCATGGACTGATCTCCAAACTGGCTGATACAATGATTAAATCCTGCTTTAACTCTTAGAGGGAGAGAGAGAGGGAGGGAGAGGGGGAGAGAGAGAGAGGTGGATTGGATTGAACTGATCCACTAGCAGGGAGAAGGTGGTAAATGTTTAAACCAAAATTGCTAATGCAAACATGATCCAAAATGGAAAAAACTGCCGCCTTTGCTCTACAGCTGCATAGCACTTGGTAGCAGCAACGCTCCTCGTGAAGGAGGTGAGCGTGTGTAGCACCGCATCAGGCCCTTCCAGCAACACTGGAAAAAGATGACACACAGAGAAGTCATTTAATTCAAATTAGCTTTGGGCTCCTGACTAAAAAGCCAGAAATACCTGCTAAAGACCTAAGAAAGCTGAGCTTAGCTCTGTTATTGGGGTTGTGTTAATACTCAGGTGAAATCTTTTCTGGCTGAGCTGTCCTTAACCATAAAAGCATGAATGTGAAATAAGTAGTAACTCTTCTCGTATAAAAAAATTCAAGAGGGAGATGCACTCCGAGTGACTATAGCTCTCAGCAAAAAGGACCTACCAATGGCAACAGCCATACGATTTAAGCACTGTCTCCTGCCATTGGATGGTGAAACAAAAAAAAAAAAAAAAAAGGGTTATTGAATTGATTTACTTCTGTAACAGTTGCTCCTGCAGAGCTGGGGTTTAAAAGGTTAGCTGAAGACTGATGCTAGAAAAAGATATCGGTGAAATAGCCGAACAGCCCTCACACTGTCTTAAAGGAAACAAGTTCCACTTTCCACCTGCCAATGCAAAAACTTGTGAGCCTCTGCTTTGGCTCTTTTCTTCTACCTCAAATGCACGTCTGGCAGAGACTCACCCCCCAAAAAAAAAAGCATGTCCTGCCCTGGAAGGGCTTATGCTGTTTTAGAAGGGGAGAGATGCTGCGCTGCTTAAAATTCACGTAGCAGGATTGCTATGGAGGTGGTTTTTCCCCCCTTTTCTGCCAGCCTGTCTGCAGGTGCTCACCCTCTGAGGCAGGACCACGAACTCAGCGGTCCCGAGCAGCCTCTATTCTATGGGATACACACACACAAAAAAAGGAAGATAAAATCACCGTTGCCCGTAGTTCGACTTTTGCTCCCATCTGCCTTCGTTGCCCTAACAGGGTAAAAACGGCAATGGTTCTGCCAGGATTCCCAGCCGCGCTGCAGGGTCACGAGATACCGCCCGCCACCGCCTTCAATTCACGTGCACGAACAGGAGGACAGGCAAAGATTTTAGATCTGTTTATTCAGATACAAATTGAAAGCAGATGAATGGAGCACAGCCCCACTTCCTCTGCTGCCTCTTCCCCTAACTACAAGAGAGAAGAGGAAAAGCAGGCAGAAAGCAGCAAATAATAATTTAGTGACAGAAGCATTGTGGTTCCCAGTTCAAACCTCTGCTTTTGGATAGCATAGGGACAGTTAAGAGCATCAGTAGGTCAGTCACGGGGGGAAATAGGTCATTTCTAGCCAGCTGTCACCACTCTGGGGCATAAAATCATCAACTGACAGGTTCCAATCCTAAATGTACAAAACAAAGCCTTGTCAACAGGTTTACAATCCGCAGCATGCACTAAGGAAACTACTTCAGCGACTTCTATTGCAGTTTGCGCGAAGCCAGCTCTCCTCCACCGTTTACCTTTCTCCAAATTCTGTGTGGAGAAGGGCCCTGGGCAGAGCCGTCATCTTAAAGTAGCTACAATTTCCAGTTTAATTGGACCTTTTCAAGGCATTCTGTCTTTACTGCCCTCTTTGGGATGACTGCTTGTAACGGGTTTCTCTGGGTTAGCTCCTACAGTACCTCTGTGCATGCTCTGCGGGGGGCGGAGCTGGCAGAAGACAAAAGGAGAGGTACCGAGGCGGCTGGGAAGTCTACTTGACCTTCAGGCACCTTCTCTGATTTGGAAAGGGAATGTCTAATGGGAGTAATTGGAGGAACTGCCGAACAACCCACTGTAACACCTCGGGTGATTTTATAGCTCACATTTTCGGTACCGACAGGATTAATTCCCTAGACGCCGTGGCAGCACACTGGGGTCCAGGAACAAGCAGGCACACCACCGGCAGAGCTCAGCTGTCCCGATTCGTCTCTCCCAGCTCTTTACTTGTTTTTTTTCTGCCGAACAACCCACTGTAACACCTCGGGTGATTTTATAGCTCACATTTTCGGTACCGACAGGATTAATTCCCTAGACGCCGTGGCAGCACACTGGGGTCCAGGAACAAGCAGGCACACCACCGGCAGAGCTCAGCTGTCCCGATTCGTCTCTCCCAGCTCTTTACTTGTTTTTTTTTTTTTGGGGGGGGTTTTTTTTTGGTTTTTTTTTTTTTTCGGGGGCTATGGAATCCAGTCTTCTGCTCAAAGCAGCTTCCCTGAAGATAATTGCTGTAGAGGTTAATCCATTGTAGAAGCACAATGCTTATCGACTCACCGAGCAACAACATACACATTTTCTATTCTCCTTCCGTTCCTTCTGCTGTTACGTAAACCGAGATTGAGATGTTCCTCCCCAGCAGCATGGGGTTGCGCCGCTTTCCCCACCAGCCTTTCATTTATTGAATGAATTGCCAGTCACTTCTAAGTTCCCTCAACTTCCTTTTCGTAGGATGTGAGCAGGAGAGGCGTACTACACCTGCCGGGACGCGCTGCGTCCTGCAAAGCATGAACAGGAGTTGTACTGTAGGAAGCCCGGCCACCTGCGCTCCCGGGGCTTCACAGCTGTCTCGTCTGCTGTTCATTTGCGTTGTGAGCTGCAGTCCAAGTTGGCCAGTGAGAAGAGAAGCTGCTAAAGGAATTAACTGTACATTGCACCTGCTAAATGACGGGTGGCTCTATTTAAGCTTCAGAGGGGACTCCTCAGGTAAGGATTGAGCGCTCTAACGATTTCTATGCCTCCCCCGGAAGGCCAACTGACCTGCTGATGTACCAGATAGGCTTTGAACTCCTAAGCACCACTTCCAGCGACTGTTTTCTGCTGAGAAATTCCAACTGCCAGCCAGTAAGGCTGTAACACCCACTTGGTTCTTCATCCCACCGCAGACAATGCACGCTCCGCTCAGAGGCTGCACAGAATGCCAGGATGGACAAGAGGCGGGGATGGCAGCAAGCACCTATGAAAACCGGTAGCCCCAGGCTCTCGAAGGAGCTTCCCTCCCCCCCCTTCTCCCCACACATAACACAAATTTGCAGAGTCAGTTTCTTATTTGTTTTCAAAGGGATAGGATTTCGAAGTCTTCATCTTCTGAGTCAAAGAACCTTTCCAATCTGTCTGCGTCGGAGGAGTCTGCAAGAGAAAAAGAAAGCACTACCTCCGTGGGGCGCACTGACTGCTCCACGTCAGTGAGACCAGCAGCTGGAGGGCAGCAGGATTTGAGTGTCATGGGCCCGCGATTTCCAAGAGACTCCGTGACATGCCTGAGTGAAGGCTCTGAGGAGGGATGAGACATAGCACACAGCAGGAGGATGGAAAATGTGCTGGAGAGAATTATATGGCGCGCAGAAGGTGCACCACCTTTCACAGACCCTGAACACAGCCCCGGTGCAGAGCAACTCTGTGCTCTGTTTTGTACAACCTTCCTGTGCGGCAGCTCTGTATTAGCAGAAAACAGTTCTGCTCTCAAGAGGCTTAAAATAGGAGAATGGACCCAAGTCTGGACTAATATCCATGAAGATTTCTGGCCCAGTTAAGGCCAGGAACACTTCACCCACCCCCAGTGTATTAGACTTGTTTTGTGCTATAGTTGCCTTTGATTCAGCTACTGGGGAATGTAATTACACATCTATGATTTTTACATGCCCAAAAGCAATTAGTACAGTCCATTTGTGAGGAAAGGACATGATCCCTCCCATCCACCCTTCCAACTCTATGGTGAGGAGCGAGCACACACCTAAAGACAAAGTAGCTTTACCATAGGGGAAGTTCAGGTGAGAACATATGGGTAAATGGGGGAAGTAAAGGAGAAATCTGTATTAACTCAGGCTTCAAGAAAGCACGTGCTGGACTTGGCAGAACAGCCAGCCAACAGCTAAACAGCAATAATTGATGGCTGGGGACAGAGGAGGAGCACATGGACACAAGCCTGCAGACCCCCCTGAACAGTTTGTGTCAAGTTTTAATGCCACAGTAGCATATGCGAACGTTTAGTGTCACTGTTCTTGAGCAAACTGCAGTGCCTGTGGGTCCTGGCAGCACAACTTCCAGAGGAGCAGCCCCCTTCACCTTCAGTAATGCAGCAGGGAACCCAACTGCCTGGGGAAAATAAAAACAAGGGGCTGGACATTGATGAGAGTACGATTAATCCTTCTAGTGACGGGTAGGACCGTAAGAGAAACAGAACGGCCATAGGAGATGGGAGAGGCTCTAGGGAAGAGGGAGGAGGACAAGTAGCCCATTACAAAAACGTTTTTTTAAGAGTAAGAAAGGCAGCAATTAGAGACAATTTAATAGAGGCAAAGATCGACTGACAGTTTAAGGGAATCAAGCATTCTTATAGAAAAGGACAGTGAGATAAGGAAGGCTTTGAAAGTCCACGTTAAGGGAGAGAGAGAGAGATAGCAAGGAAGCACAGGGTGCAGGAGGCAAGTGACAGGACACAGTCCAATGCCTGGTGACAGAGTAAGTTTGTCCATGCATACTCACTCCTCTTGGCAGAAGCTGTCAATCGCTCTTTATCTCCTGCAACGTTTGTGCATGTTATTAACATGATAAGCAGAGGCTGACAGCCAAGATACCGCCCAGCACTTGTTCCTTTCTGCACTGGTAGCAGCACACGCTCAGGGAAGGGGTGCCTTACACTGGAACTAAGTTTGACCAGCCCTGTCTTTCACCATTTTCATTACCTAGAAACTCAGTTTTCAGCCTTTTGCGATGGACCCTTTTGATTCCTCCAAGCATCCCTTTACAAACCATAGATTCACATTGCTGTGATAGCCTATGAACTTGTTTTTTCTTCCCCTCAGTCACCATCACCACTCACAGACTCATTGTAAAAATCATCCTCAGACACTGTGGGATCTGCAAACAGCTAGTCAAAAGCCAAAGAACTAGATTAATTGACTTAAGAGTTCCAGATCAAACTCCAGGCAGAAGAGGAACATAACTGGAAGCCACCAGGCAATTCTGCACAATTTGCAAAAAACCAAAGGGCCCAGTTCACCCTTGGCTCTGCCTCCCTGCGTGGCCTCACCTGGTGTAAGATTCAGGACGTCAGGGTTGGAGAAATGCGATGGCTGGCGTTCGACCAGTTCGAACATTGGCAGCGCTCCTCTTACCAGGGACAGCTGTGGAGCAAGAGTGAGAGCTGTGAGAACCAACTCTGTACTCACGGTGCTCTGGTTCTTTAAGGGGCAATAATGATCTGTTGAGACTTCGTTGCAGCTGACAAAATGTTTCTCAAACCTTTGACTTGCATCATCAGCAGAATTTCAGAGCTATGCTCTTTTTGGTATTTTAATAAACTATTTTCATATGCTTTAAAATGGGATCACGCTGCAGAGAACATGCTCGCTGCGCAGTAGTTTGAAACAAGACAATCCCTTATATTCCTTTCCTGGTGATATGAACACAAACCTTTTTGATTTGCTGGCACCAATCGTTAAAGTCCTCCTCTGTGTTGCAGAAAAAGCCCTGAAAAAAAAGAATTTATTTTTATATATTGTAGATTGATCATTTCAGTCTTAAGGCCTTGTATTAATGCCAAACAACTGGACCAGGACTGTGAGAAGTTACACCACCTCACTGCTTCACTTTTAAACTGTGGCTTACACTGCCCCGTTAAACTGAATGCTCCTCCTACACTTGATGTGACCAGACTATCCCAGCACCGGAAGCATCGATGTAGAGGGCTGCTCTACTGCAGAAGAAAAACTGGGCAGCAACAACCCACGTGGGAACAAAGGGCAGGCATCTCACGTTCAACAAAACAAAAAGACACACCGAATCATAATCTGGACTTGGGAATGGATTCAGATCTGCCCATCAAAAGGCAGGAATCAAAGCTCGAACTAAGCCTAAGAGAGGAATACTGCCCCATGAAGAATGGCATTTAATTGCCATGCAAAGGGGAATTCCCTGTACCAAACCACTTCCTGCATGGGGAGCTTCTGTACCAACGTTACCGAAACCCACGGCAGTGCTTGCCCAGAGCACAGCATGCCTGGAGATTACCTAATCCATCACCACTGCCCTTGCCAGTTCCCTGGGGAAAGGGACAGCTGTGAAACAGAGAGACCCCACCACTGCTCCTCCAGGCGATCGGAAATAAGCATCAGGAACGCACCACTGCAATGGAGGGGTCGAGCTCGGCAATGCTCATTCTGCAGGGAGGGTGCTGGCAGTGGAAGCTTTCATCAGGGAGACAGCCGCTGTCGTTGGGCTCCACTGCAGGTTGCGTAGTGTGGGGATCCAGGTAAATGAGTTCCTCACCTGGACAGACAGGCAAGGAGACATGAACAGGAAGAACTGTTCCAAAAAGCTGGTCTTCTGAGAAGCAAAGGGTGAGATACAAAGAGGAGGAAGAGCGATGACAGAGCCAGCTCTTGTAACCCCACAGAGGAACCCCACGTCCTACGGACAACTTGTTTTCAGCCACTTCCCCAAATGCTTCTCATCCAGGCAAAGAGCCAGCTGCCAGCAGAACCACGGTGCCCGCTCCACAGCAACCACCTGGGCTCGAGGCACGGGCACTATTTGATATTGTTCCTGCCCATGCCTTCCAGGGTCCTGTGTAAGTTCAAGTCGGTCCCAGAAATCCAAAGCACAACCAGATTGAGGTCTCGGACAGAGAGAAAAAAATCAGAGGGAAGGAGGAGAGTAAATGGACAACACTTTGTAGAGTTTCAGGAAGGGGACAACTAAAGGACAGTTAAATCCAGCCAAGCCCCTGAAGGGAGGCGAGCTCTGAACCTAGGAAGAGGCCTCTATGCACACCTCTTTTGAGACAGGATTTAGTGTTACGCAGTGGAAGTTTACAGCCTGTACTACGGCCAGCATTCAAAGCTATAGCACTCGGGTCCTCACAAAGATGTTCAGTCCACAGCAGCCTTTCACGCTTCCCAGCAGGAAAGAGGAACCCTGCAGCATGCACCACAGACCAAGCAGGAGAGCTGTATCGCTCCCACAAGCATTTTTTAGCTGGGGGGAGATGCTTGGAAAGTCTTTGCAGTACTCTGGGCACTCACCTACATAGCCAATGAAGTAGTGAGCACTGTTTGGTTTCCCTCCGATCACTCCCAGGGACTGGGGCATCATGAAGCAGTGCTGGAAAAGCAATACAGAAAACACACAGCTGACAGACAGTGAGACAGCAGGTGGCAACAAAGGCAAACATCCAAAAATGCAGTGGGAAAGAAAGACAGGGACAATGAAAACCAGCAGAAACAGCCATTTCTGGAGAGAAGCTCCACCAGGAAGGCTGAAGGCTGCAACACAGGGCTTTCAAGTAACACAGAAGCAGCTCAAAACCACCTTTAACTGCTGACAGGAACAGACAGATGGACCAAATAGAAGAGGCAGCACTACTCCAGGGCTCAGTCCAGGCAAGTCCTGGCTCTGCTGCAGTCAGCGGCAGAGCAGTCAGCGGCACCCTGGAGCCATCATCAGGTTGCAACAGTGTTCTCGGGAGGGAACGATCATTCAGGAAACAAGTTCCTTATCCATCTGGAGTATCCAGGCACCATCTACTGAGTTATGGGCAAATAACTTCGTGTGAATTTGGAGCTCTCTTACAGCAGCTCAGAGCTTGCTAGCTTTAGTGCAGGAAGACAATGTGCACCCTCCTCTGGTGCGTGTACTCTGCACACCCTAAATTCTGCAGCCTCCTGATACTCCACACTGCAACCCTCAGCCGAATTCTAGCCTGAGTCTGCAGCACAAGCTCCAGCATCAGAGCCGCAGGGAGTTTGCAACACTACATTCATTAATGCTTGTGTTGCCCCCAAGCACAGCACAGCTGTGCTAAACGAATGCTTCAGCAGGGTCGTACCATCTGAACGCAAAGAGGGACTGAGATTAAGTTGTGAAGTAAGATTCTTAAAAAAACCCCAAACAAACAACCCCAAACACCAAAAATCACAACCCCCTAAAAGCCCCCCACATTTTCCTGACTAAAGCCTGCAAGAACCTGTATCCTGCCCTCTGACGAGGATTGTCTCTAAACACATTCTTCTTTTGAAAAAAGGAGAATTATTTCTGAGTATTTTCACCCCAAAATCAAATTCCAGAAATTACTTAATTCACAACAGGGTCCTTAAGCATCAGAACACCAAGAATTGAGCTCCAGGTCCCCTACCTTTAGTGTTTCAATATAGGCTTCATTGATCTCTGTGAGCCCAAGGCGGAGAGGTATCAGCAGCACCAATGGTTTCCACAGTGAGAGCCTATCTCTAACCCCCGCTTCCTCTGGGTACCCGTTACAGAGTACGTCTGCCTCCACAGCAGGGCATGCTGCAGCTCCAGCACACGGGAAGTTGGACTGGCACAACCGCCCTACAGAAAGGGAACATGAGCAGAAAGCATCAGAAATAACCTTCTTGACCTTGAGTAACTCTATTCCAGCTCTGATCAAAATTGCTATTTACTAAATGACTACAACACTTTAAAAAACCCCCAATAATCTTAACAAGGTCCAGTGCTGGGATGGTGCGATGTATGTACTCCCTGCAGGGATTCTGGTAGGGCTCAGCATTTCATCTAAGCTTACATCAAGATTATGCCAAAGCACGCTGTACTCACAGCCACCATCTGGTGGGCTGTTAAAAAGCAAATTCTTCCAGCAGGTGAGAAGCTAAGCAACAACCTACGCCAACAAGGTCAAACGAGCTGATTAGGAGGTCAGGCAAGAGTCTGGAATTCACACAGCGTGTAGGCAGAAAGAGAAAAATTTGGAGTGTTCAACTCCAGAGGAGTTGATGGAGGATATGAAGACAGCTGAACTGAATGAGGAAAGCGTTATGGCTTAGCACAGGAAATATTCACCCATAATTAGCACTGTAACAAGATACAAACTTGGTGTCTGTCTAGAGTTGTAATTGACTTAAAGTTCACTAAAGCTTTCACAAATTTTATCAGGGAACATTCAGAAGCTACTTTACAGACCTAATGCAGGGTGATCGTTACGCTCTGCAATTTCAGCCTGAGCTTTGCTGTAAGGTATGGGGCAGTAAAACTCCTTGGGGCGTATGCAGGATATACGCGCTGTGGATCCTCATTCTACAGGCTTGACAAACACACAGCCAGGCTGTAATGCAACCAGATTATGTAAATTCTGGCACAGAAACATCTCCAAGCCTACCTGTCTCACTGGCTAATTTCATTACTGGCTGGGTGTGGGAAGAAAAAAAAACCCAAACCCCAAAGAAACCCACAACACTTTAATCACGAAGCCAAGGCAATTAGACAAAATGCCAGAGGCTCTTTTAATTTATTCCTGGCCTAAGCTGAATGCCAGGACACTGCAGCAGGTAGGACACAATGTAAATAAACACCTTCATCACCAGCAATTTCAGCAGGGTGTTTGCTCGCTGAGAGCTTCGAACCCAGCTGAACGCAGAGAACATTACACCCAAAGCAGAAGAAACAGCACTTTGATCTAATGCCTCAGTATGAGAGACAACCTGCACTGAAGCGTTTGCAGGTGATCCCTATACCATCCACCCGAGGAGGGAGAAGGTGTAGGTGCTCATCTCTCATGCACAGACGTATTATAGTGACCAGACATCTTGAGAAAACGGAAAGTCGTTATTCATAGTGATTTATCCTGTTAAAACAATAAAGATCATGTTTTTTTTTCATTGGCAGTTGCCTGCCTGTTCTGATGATCTGAAATCAGCTGCCAAGCCAGGGCTGTTGCTGCCTGGGGTGTCACTGTAGGTTTCCTCATCAGGCAAATAACTGGCAACCCCGCGCTGTGATACGAACATATTTAAACTCCTGTCTAAGCAGCAGGGAGCTCGGCAGAGACTAAAGTCGCCCGTCTTCTTTGGCAGGCTTGGCAACACTATGGTGCCACAGCACAGTGGAATCTGCCTAAAGCTTCCCAGCTGGATACGAACCATTTACTGCAAACATATTCCAACACATTTGACACATCTCTCCTGCTGCAGCTGCTGTCAGGTACTGGCTTTACTGTCTTGGTTTCTCACCACCTTTCTGAGGCACAGGGTTCTCCAACACACAACTAAGAGCCCCTTTCTCATACAACAGCCTGACTCAGAAGGGATAAAGATGGATGTTTTCTTCACTGCTGTAGAAAAACATATTTCCTACACACCTTACGCTGAACAGCATTAGTGACCGAACTTAACAGATGTGTGAAACAGCATTAACTTCTGAATGCTTCACTATCGACAGGTGTTCAGGGCACAAGATATATAACACATACCTACAGACATAAGACACACGTGACCCACTCGTACAGTGACTTTCAGGCCCTGAACAGGTACACCACGATTCACATTTGAGGAAAATAAACAAACACCCCCAACACACACCTTACAAGCTGTATGGACACATTACTCAAAGCGGTGTCAGTGCCGAACACAAGCCACACAGACCAGAGCCTGCAACATATCCAAGCCTTGCAGCCAGCATGCTTCAGTTCTAGAAAGAATGTTTTCAGGCTAAAGATGAAAAATAAATCCAGTTTCTGTCTTCACGCTGGCCCTTGTTGAAGCTAAGGGCATCAGCACACACCTTCACAGGACTATGTGTACGTAAGGTTAAACAGGCACTTCTCAATCAAATCCTACCCTTCTTGGCCTTGCAATTGAGACTACCGGATAACAGACGTGACTTTGTAAAGTGACTGTCCTGCATTCCAGGGACAAACGGCCTGTTAATTGATTTTGGCTCCGTGGCAGCCAAAGCCAGCCTAAATGATGCCTGCTACGATCTCACCTGTAACCAGCGCTGACTGGACTGTTCTACATGCCATTTCAGAACGCTAACCAGGCAGAAACCGTTGCGTGGGTTTGTGCTGCGTAAGCGCACTGCCTCACGAGTTAGTGTAAAGCAAGGGGAAGGCTTGTGTGGCCGGGACCATGCAGGACTGCAGCAACTGGCAACGCATGCATTCAGCTTTGGTTTCTGCAGCCTGAGCAAGCATGCTAGGGATGAACACACTGCACAGCTGCTCGGCCTCCAGAGCCATCCTATGGTCAGGATGCACCAAAAAAACAGAAAGAAAAGAAAAAAAAAAAAAAAGAAACAACCAGTGAGCACTCCTTAAAAGATGAAATATCTACTCCAGAGAGATTCCCTTCTCCTCTCTGCCCTCCCTGCCAATTTTGTTCATTTTCCTCTTCAGCAATCTGTTCTAGTTTTCTTACTCTGCCTAATAGCAGAGACACTCCTACCCCATTATATGAGAGAGGAAGCAGTCATTTACTGCTTGCTACCTGTGGCCATAAGTAAGTTTGACACTACCTTCCAAGCAGCTCCTACCTACCCTCTGAAGGTCAGCAGACCACCTCTCCAGATCCAGAGGCCACAAAGTCAGAGGCTTTATTAGATGAAGCAAGAGTCAAACAAGGGACTTCCTTGCTCTAGAACAGCAATTCCCATCTGGTTTTAGCACTCTTGGCCACAGCTTTGAGACAGAACATTTACTCCATGCTTGTTGTGTTGTACTAGTATACACTCTCCAGTTTTTTTCTGGCTTCTTGCTGCCAGAGGATAAGCCACATTCTACCACCATGTGATACTTACGGATTTCTTCCATCACTACTGTGTTGTCCATGGCTATATGGACTGCCAGTGAACTCCATGTATCAAAAGTTGCAAGTTTTCTATTGGAAAATTAAAAAAAAAAAAGCAAGGATTAGTTACAATTACAAGACTAAGATGGTGGTCTACCAAAGAGGAGAAATGGTATTAGGAGAGATTGGCTTTCATCAGTTACTCTGTATGGTATGTTTTTATACAAGTATCAGAGTTGTAGACTCTGTTGCCACTAGTTATTATGGCCAGAAGAGTAAACAAGATTGCAAATGGCACCACACCTGGGAATTTGTCCCTCAGCAGCTACTAAGTACAAGAGCCCTGATACAATCTCCAACTCAAATCCCATAGCTGCTGGTTACCAGAAAGTGACACAGCATAAAAAATAAATAATAAGTGAAAAAAAAAAAAAAAATCACTTTCCCTCCACCATCTCCTGATCACCCACATCAGATCCTGGACTAATTCAGCATACGGTACGACTTGGGAAAGCTGCTTTTAGGCAATGCTAGGCTATCCTAGGGAGCTCCTTGCTCACCTAATCAAAGTGAGGAAAGAATGATGACAGGAGGGAGACCGTTTCTCAGAACACGGTGTGTCGCAGTTATTAAAGGCAGACCGTGCTCCAGCACTGCTCTGAACCTCTGCCTGTCACCATGGAACACAGGCAACAAATATGAATGCTTTCATGCTAATGCATTAGTGACTTGATGGCTCACTGGCAGCTTTTTGATAACAGTGACGCTGTTGTCAGGTCAGCAGAGATGACTTGGATGCTAACAGAGATCCAAACGACAGCAACGATCATCTACTCTGGCCCTTGCTTCCCATCTGCTGCAGAGCATTGCACTCAGTTCTAGTGGCAAGCACATTACTTGCAGGACATGGAGAGAGATTTTTGGGGGTTGTCCTCAACTTAAAACCTGTTTTCTCTCACCTCCTGTCAGCGCCTGAATGACAGAAGGGCTCCTTTCAAGTTGCTGCCCAAGCAGGTTGATAAACTCAAGCAAGTTGCCTGCTAACAGCATGAAAACATAAAGTTGTGCTTCAGTCAAGAAGCACAGGCAGAAACCTGTAAGCTAAGAGGCACTACGAACCAAATCACCCCATCACGTGGTTCGAAAGACATAAAGGAAAAACGCAGCACTTACTTGAGCACTTGTGCGACTGTGTTTGGTCCATACCACTGACCTATGGATTTTCCCTCTCCAACTCCCATCTGGGCTGCATCACAGGAAAAAAACCCAAAACAATTTAGCAAATAATTTCATCTACACTGTGTCCCTTCCTAATCAGAGTTTGTATTTAATAGGGAAGAAATCGCACTTGGAAACATTTTTGAGTCAGCAGAATCTACCCTTTCATGAGGTATCTTAGTGTAGATGGGAGAGAGAAGCATATCCTCCAGGACTGTCAAGCAAATCCTTTCCCCAAAAGGCAATAACACAGAAGTTCAAAAGGCAATTGCCCAGAGAAGCTGTGGCTGCCCCATCCCTGGAGGTGTTCAAGGCCAGGTTGGATGGGGCTTGGAGCAACCTTTGATCTTCAAAGTCTCTTCCAACCCAAACCATTCTGTGACTCTATGAATGTTACCTCAGAAGAAATTTTACTTAGAGTGTTTGATTACCAGGACCACCCCTGTAACTTGCAGTTCTGTTCACTGAAGCTATAGGTGCCTTAACACCCTAAAAGAAAAAGTGGAACAGGCTGCTTCTCTTTTATTTGCCAGGGAAGTTTATATCACAGTGAGATCCTTCCCTTAGCCCAATTTGCTACTTCGGAGAATTTCTTTGCTCAATCATCTTCTCGTATCACAACGTCCTAGTGAGAACAGCAGTCACACGCGTTCCTCTCACCTTAGCTAGCTAGGATACGGAAAGTGATGCTGAATATAACCTAAAGCCTGTTGGTCTTAATGGAATGAAGAAGAAAAAAACATCATAATGCATAATAAAGAGTGGTAGTTTTACATCACGTCAGAAAACAAGCAGCATAGTATCATGTACTACCTGACCTGCTCATTGGGTTGGGGATTTTTTTGGCCAAGCTAGTAAAACAAAGACACATTGATGTTCTAAACTCATGGGAAATCCAGACTGAATATCTCCACGCTCTCCAGCACCCAGACTCTTACCTATCTGGTGAATGGAGTAGTAGCTGTCTTTTTTGTCAATGAAGGCATTAAGAACATTGAAGTAATTATCCATCTGCCTCTTCCCTTTTATCCACCTCCAGTCTAAGGCAGAGAAGGGGGATATATGAAACAAAACACAATATTAGCAACTAGAGGCTGCAAGCTACAATTCTCTTCCCTGTGCGTCAATCAACTGACCTGATTTTCTTGTCGCTATCTTATTACTAGGCATGGGAGGCATTCCCAACACTAAAGGATTAAGTTTAAAAGAACAGTAAGCATTCTCACAGCTGGGGTAAAGGACTATCATCCACAGAAAAGCAAATAAACAAACAAACAAACAAACAAAAAATCAGAAAACACAAATTGTACCTCTAGCCCACAGATGGGAAATAGCATTACAATTTCTCATTGACAGGCGTGAGCTACATATTCTGGGGAAAAACACGTGACCTCTGTTGAGATACTATTTGTTTAGTTTAAATAACTAAGTTTTAATTAGAATAAATTTCTTGGGGTTATAATATGATGTGATTTATGCTGTTTGCTTAGCTTTACTTAGCATGAGCAGCTAGATTTGCTGAAGCCTTTAGGCCGCAACAGAGTTAATTTTCATAGTAATTCTCCTAGCAGCCCGTACAGTGCTGTGTTTAGTCTTTTAGTGTAAGAAACATGTCAATAACACACTGATGTTTTGGTATTGTTTTCCCTAAGTCTGGGACTTGTTAGTTCCCCATGTTCTGCCAGCGAGCGCAGGTACACAAGAAGCATAAACTGGCAGATAAAGAGGCCACAACAGCCAGCAGAGAAGGCAAATCGACAAGGTAAGAGCAGTCAACAGCCCCCCTGGACACAGAAAAAGAATCCAACAAGGTGTTAGAAGACCCCAGACCAAATTGGACTAACAGACGCTTGAACAGCGCGTGAGGGGCAGGCATAAAGATCGCAAGGGTGTAATTGCCCAGGGATTTCTTTGTTTGAGATCCTCCCCTTTTTGAAAATACCCAGCCCAGGCTGACCTTGCTGCTGTACCTTTCAATTAAATTACTTATTTTTATAAAATCTGATGCCTGAGACTCTACTGCGGGAAACTTAGGGTCGAGCCTGGAGAAGGAAGGAGTGCACCCAAGAGTAAGTGTGTGTAAGGAGTCAGAAGGGGCACCCGTCAGCTCGCTGGAGTCACCCACTGCGAAGGGACCCTGGTCTGAGCACTTAGAGACTCAGGGGATGTGCGTGCGACTCCTTGAATGGTGTGCAAATGCTCAGGCAGCAGCTCTTCCTTTTAACAACCTCACTACAAAAATCACCTTCCACAAATTCAAAGGCCATCAACCACCGTCAAAAAACACTCCAGTATAGCTGCTTACAAACCCAGCATGGGCCAAGCACAAGAGAAGTATTCAGTGAGAGGAAACTACTCTCAGAAAGTGAGGGCTTTGTGTCAAAACTGAACTATAAATGAGAATCAATCTACTAAGTTGTTTTAAACTTCAGCTATATAAAAACCCCTTCAACAAAAATCTAGTACGTGCTTGGCTGCAGTGGATTTAACTAGCATGTTACAGGGTTCTGCTTTGTTTTAAGGCTTGGACAACTGTATTTATGTAAAGTTGTAGACAGCAGGGAAAAATCCACTGGAAGGTTTCCAGTAGACATTTCTTTCAGCAGCCCTGAACTTGAGAAGACTGAAGAAAAAGGCATAGAGCCCTCAGCAATTCCCAGCTGTGCCCTTGTTATCTGCTGTCCTTACAAGTCCTGTGCTTGTGGGAGCACATGGCCCTGGAAGTCAGTATGGGCTGTGCACTGGTTTACCTCTTCCCAAATGCCTGCAGACCAAGGCCTGAGCAAAGATCATCTGGCCACACCGCAACATACAGCCCCAGCCAGTATCAGATGTGGGACCGGTTCCTCCTGTAAACGAGGACAGAAAATAAATATGTAATGAAGAGTAAAGCAGTGCCAAGAGGGAGAAGAAACGAAAGCATTGAAAGCCTGCACAGGCAGCAGGTTCACCCAAGAAATCAAGCAGGGAATAAGGACTACTTCAGCTCACATACCCAAGGCTGAGAAACAAAAATGTAGTTATCAGTGAGTAATTGAATGGCATCCCTTAAAAACAAACAATCAAACAAAACCCTTTAACGCTAACTGAAAGGGGGAAAAAAAACCCCTTCAAACGGAAATCCAAACGACTCAACTAGAAATTGAGCTGAATTTCTCAGGAGCGCAACAGCCCTTGAGCCTAGCTGCAGACTTCCAGCCCAATTCAGAGACACATCTCTGCACAGAGGTGCTTGTTACAGGTGATGTCTTGTAATCCTCACCTTGAGAAGGCAACTCATCATGCAAAACAAATCAGTTCCAAGGAATTCCCACATCATAAGCAGCTATGGCTGGACGAGATTCCAAAGTGAACAACATAGGCCAAAAAAAAAAAATCCCAGCAGCCAAAAAACCCCACCCCAGCAACGAAAAAAACCACATCCTACATAATACTGGAGAATAAGCTGGATATTAGCTCACGCTGGAAAGTCTGAGACAAAGGCCTCAAGGCTGGAAGTATTTCCCTGACAGAACTTCAAAAGGAAACTGCTACTCCTGCACTGAAGCTCTGGGTATTATTGCAAGCTTCATAGTACTGGTCAGTACTGGGACCTGTACTGTTCAACATCTTTGTCGGTGACACGGACAGTGGGGTCGAGTGCACCCTCAGCGAGTTTGCCGATGACACCAAGCTGTTTGGCGAGGTGGACACGCTGGAGGGGAGGGATGCTGGGACTGGACAGGCTGGAGAGGTGGGCCCATGCCACCCTCATGCAGTTCAACAAGGCCAAGTGCAAGGTCGAGGTCTGGGGTCATGCATCTGGGTCGGGACAATCCCAAGCACAAATACAGGCTGGGCGGTGAATGGCTGGAGAGCAGCCCTGAGGAGAAGGACCTGGGTGTGCTGATTGACCAGAAGCTCAACATGACCCAGCAATGTGTGACTGCAGCCCAGTAGGCAAAGCGCATCCTGGGCTGCATCAAAAGAAGTGTGGCCAGCAGGTCAAGGGAGGTGATTCTGCCCATCTCCTCTACTCTCGTGAGACCCCTCCTGGAGTACTGCATCCAGCTCTGGAGTCCTCAACATAAGAAGGACATGGACCTGTTGGAGAGTGTCCAGAGGAGGCCGCGAGGATGATCCGAGGGCTGGAGCGCATCTCCTATGAGGAGAGGCTGAGAGAGTTGGGGCTGTTCAGCCTGGAGAAGAAAAGGCTCTCGGGAGATCTTATTGCGGCCTTCCAGTGCCTAAAGGGCCTACAGGAGAGCTGGGGAGGGACTTTTTACTAGGGCATATAGTGATAGGACGAGGGGAAAGGGCTTTAAATGGGAAGAGGGCAGGTTTAGATTAAACATTAGGAAAAAATTTTTCACTGTGAGGGTGGTAAGGCACTGGAACAGGTTGCCCAGAGAGGTTGTTGAGGCCCCATCCCTGGAGGTGTTCAAGGCCAGGCTGGACGTGGCCTTGGGCAACCTGGACTGGTGGGAGGTGTCCCTGTCTATGGCAGGGGGTTGGAACTCTATGATCTTCAAGGTCCTCTCCAACCTTAACTATTCTATGATTCTATGATAGATAAAATGTTTAGTGTGACCAACCATAGCAGTGAGCAGTCTTACAAGCACGCAGTCAGCTGCACCTTTGCACAGCTGGTAGAAGTAGGTTCTTTGTCGTGCTGCTTTTTCCTTTCCATCCCACGCAACTACTATGCATGAAAAGCACAGGGAGAAAAAACACCCAAGAGAACTATTCAATCAACTTCTGGATGATCAACAGCTACCTTCTATAATTTGGCCAGCAATTTATAACATATACAACATCCAAAATTGATAATGCTTGACGAAATTAGCATAAGACATTCCCCTTACCCTCTGAAGAGCTTACAATATTTAAGTGGGCGAGCACAGAGAGAAGTGGCCAACAATAAAAGGGATGACTGGGAGAAGAAAGACTGCAAAAGGAAAAGGTTTACTGTATGACGTGCAAACCTCATCTATACTGTAAATGGGAAATGACTCAGAAAATGGTATTTCTTCCCGTCCCCCGCCCTCTAATAACTCACACAGAAACCCCAATCATGTTTGTGAGCCATTGTTAAACACATGCTAACCCTTCAATTTCCAAAATGTTTAACTATGGCTCACAAACGTGAATTTAAAGGGATTAAACTGCATCAAAGATGTCTCATAGCTTGTTAGGCAAAGGCTTTCCCAGTAGGGAAAGAACAGAACAAGCCAGAAGGACCAGCTACCAAGAAGTCTTTTCCAAATTGGAGCCATTTTCCCCATCAACTGCTGGGGACAACGCTGACAGTGAGGACACAGGTCGGACTTAGAATCCCATTCACCTGTTCTCAGATCTCTTCCAATATCCCTTCCAGCCAGTACACAAAAACCACACCACTGAAGAGACCACAAAGAATAGGAACTAAGGAACGAAGTCATCCTCCTTTGAGTTCATGGGGAAATGTTTCCCATATTACTACTGTTCCTGTGTGTAACAGCCACTTCAGGCATTTAAAAAAACCTCCACACAAACAAACAAACAAACCCCCCCACATAGTCCAGAGCAGACGCACAAAGGCAGTAATTTCTGCATCATAGCTCTAGTTTTCATGTCTTTAATCCACTTCAAGTCCAAGACAATCATTAAATAATATTTCACATTAAGTCCTACGTAAGTCTAATGAACACGAAGTACAAAAATCTTCTCATGTTGCTCAAAGAAACGATATTTCTAGGTAGGCTTCCCAAACTCATTCTTGTGTCCTTTTTAAAAATCACTGTTATTCCTCATATCCAAGGGGATGAGGAATTCTTATTATCAGAGAAACAAAAATTCTACCCTATCAATTAAATGAAATGCCTTTCAGGTTCCTATAAACAGAACTGAATTAATGTTATGCTTGTAGGGACTGTTTTATTAGGTAGACATAACTGGATTATCATCATTTCCAGGACTTAGACTCATCCACAGTACATACCGATAGCAGGGAAGTTCTTTCTGTAGGTGAACCAAAGCCGAGAGGTCACATCCAACAGGATCTCTTCTTTCTCTGAAAATTTTTTAGCATCAAAAGACACACACATGAAGATAACACCAAACACAGCTAGATCCATCCCTCACCCACCTTCCCTAATGAAAACAACATTCTGCTCCTCCCTCAGTCTGTGTCCCTAGAGAGGCAAATTCTGGCTGAGGAACAGGACAGTGCCACAGTGCAGAAGACACCTCCTTTTTCCCCTGAAATAGCTGCAATCAACCCAAAGAAGATGCCATGGCCATAGTCAAATTATGAAGCAGGAAATAATTTCCTTGCCTTTTCCCCAAGCTATCCCCTTGCCTCAACCATGCTGGCTCCGTGACACAAGTCCAAATAACTACTAAACGGTAACTTTCTGCACAAGAATATTTCAGACCCCACAGAGATGGCCAGACAGAGGAGCCCGGCACTTAGAGCCCGCATGCTCTGCCAGCAAACAGACACACTCTGCAGTTGCCTCGCTGCTCAGAAAACAAAGTGCAATACTAACAAAGTCCTCTGGAGCATTAGAGCATGTTGCACCGTGCATGCAAAATACCTGTAAAAACACTGTATTTCCGGCCGAGGATCCAAACGGGTTCTTTGGTCTCAGGGAAGTCTTCATACTCGAACCTGAGAGTGTCATAGGTAAGAGTAGCTAGAAAGAAAAAGAAGAAATTACATACCTTTCATAACATTTCCTTGTGTTTTAAAAATCATACAGAACTACGCAATCAGAGCTGCTGTGGACCAGGACCTTACACACCCAGAGCACCTGGCTCTAGCTGGCAAGAAACAGCACGACTCCCCCTGCAACCACCAGCTCTGGAAGGCAGAGAGAGCCAACGCAGCCCTGGCTCACTCCTGGGTGCTCCACAAGCATAAAAGCAGAGAGATTTCCAGGTTAGGGCAGCTCCAGGTTCTGTCCAGTGCAGAAAACGGTCAAGAAAACATCTAGGACTTCATCCAACAGCTGCGCTCATCTTCCCAGAACAGACACCATTGTGCACACTAGAGCAGTTCTCAGCAACAATGTCAAGATCCTCTATTCAAGTGAGCAAAGTGATTAAAATCCTTCTTCCAGATGATATAATATTTGGTGTTGGAACACAAAAAGCACAGACCACATTAAGATGGGAACTAAACCTTGCTCCTCAAGTCAGTCCCTCCTCGAGAGGCAAGGAATCCAGCAGAAGTCATCACCTGCAGTGAAAACAGCCTGCAGCCCAAAAAGCAGCACTGCCTCTATGGACGTCACACTAAAAATCTGAGGAACACGGAGCTGTGCAGAGATATACTCGTTCACAGGCGATAGGCAAACCTTAGGTCTATTTTACTGACTGCCTTCACAGCATGGCATCCATCGATGCCTAGAGATCCACCTCCTCTCACACGACCACTACAGAACAACTCAGCAGCACAGGATGCCCTTGGATCAGGGCAGCCTAAGCTTTCGTGCAAAACACACAGGTGATGGGGAGGAAAAAAAAAAAAGAGAGAGTTAGATAAATTGTGCTCCACTAGGTCTGTATTTGGAAATATGGCACTTTCAGATGGTCTTGGAACCCTGGAAACAAACCATCTAATTTTGTAGGTGTGAATTCTTTAACAAATGTCCTATAAAATTTAAAGCAGAACCAAGCCAGACTCTTCTGTAACCATTAAAGCGATTATCGAAAATATCTCTCACAGCAAATGCAATAAAATCTGCAGTAACACGACACGAGTTTAAAACAGGGCAATGGACTAAATGACCACAAGCTCCTCAGCCCTGTTTTCTGTCAAAGCCACCACCCTCCACGGTGCACAGCTCACTTTTTGCTTCCCAAGAGAGTCACCTGCTGCTGCCTACGTAGCAGACCTCAACCTTCTCACAAGTAGAAGACGTTCATAGAAGAGCTTTCCTCCCAATCATTCCCTGCTTAGCTTTCCAAAGCATCATCTGGAGCACCAGTAAATAACAACTCGGTTGATTTGCATCAGTGATAGCTCCAGAAAGTCACCACAAGGTTCTGCTCCCCCTCCCTCCAGACATCTAGGATATTCCACGTTGTGCTCGGGCAAACAAGCTACGTAAAGACATTTTAGCCTCCTGTAGGTACTTCATCAGCCTTCTGCCCCAGGGCTCTCCGACCTGAAATTCCAATTCCAAATGTCAAAGAAAAATAAATAAGTAGTGGCAGCAAGACACCATCACCAAGACCAACTGCTGTTTAAGCAGGAGCCCTGGCAACAGAAATGAAAATAGGCTCCTAAATTAAATTCCGAATTAGACTGTGGTCCTAACCCTAGCCCAAAAGATTTAAAGCCTGTTCCTTGTGTAAACTAGTCTATAGACTGTTTCTGGCACATCTAGGATAGCGTGGGCCACGCATTCCCATTCCCATCCCATGATGTGACTTCTCAACAGCAAGCTAAGCACAGCAATTCCGCTCGCACAGAAAAGTACCAGCAAACTAATGCAGTCTTTTCCTCTCGCAAACTTTAGCAGGGAAATTAAGAATTTCTTTACTATATACTAGCCAAACTTTACGAATCCCCAGCTGTCCATGCTCTCTGTGTCTATCTTTACTTAATAGCTTGGCTTGCTTTCACCCGTTTCTTGCCCAGTGTTGGAGATTTCTTCCCAGGAAAGAAAGCAATGTGACTTCCGTAGAGGTTTTCAAGCAAGCATCACTTTCTACTTTCTCCCATAATCTTTGAAGTTTCCCTTTGGGATGAGACACTACAGGTTTATTCTGACAGCTCAAAGGGACACCATTCATTAGGAATTTTTTTAATTCAGTGCGTTACCAGATATGGTCTTAACATAAAAACTGAAGTTCTCAGGTTTTAAAGCTCCAAGGCATATTTTGTGGTTTATTTTGTCAGTTCTCAAGCTTGCCATGAATCCAGCTCTCTGTCAAAGGAGCCTCAAATAGCTTAAATAAAATGGCTGAAACAAGGATGCTACACAGAAACTATCAAGCTACCCACCATCCCTCTTTCTCTTTCCTAGCAACACTTCCTTGCCTTCTAAAATGCCGCATCCTCTGCGGTTTCACCTTTTGCAGGGCATCAGGCCCTTCGCAAGCACAAGATTTGCAACTGGCAGCTTCACAGCAAGGATCTGCTGGAGTCCTTCCCCTTCAATCAAAGCCAGGAGAGGAAGGGGTCAGCAGGTGGGAGGGATTCCCAGGCTGCCCGCTGGACCAGCTGCGTATTCAGAGAACGCAGCAAGTGCCATGACACTGCACATTCAAGAGGAGAGTCCCAAACTTAGAGTCCTTCAGCCGAATGCCCAACATCCGGGCTCTGTGCAAAGGTCCTGTAGGTCCAGCCATGCATCTGAAAGATGCGGTCAGACATTAGTGCGCACGTTGGTATTATGGAAAAAAACACTTGCCAGCACCTGAAAAGGCACAACCGTTAAAGGCAGGAGTTAAAGTTTCACCTGCACAGGGAGGAAAATTCAAGCGATTCCTACGAGTTAGTATCTAGAATTTTATAACGGGAGCACTAAACTCTCCACAAGGCTTGAAGACACTAAGTGTTTCCTTTACAAACATCTACCTTCATACGCTTTGGCACTTTTTCAAAACTACGACCCAGATGAGCTACATACGAGCCAGTGGGATCCAAACAATTCAGGCAGGGGTACAAAGAGTGTCACAACTTGCACAGGAGCCTTTCTCTCCCTCCTAGAAGCAAAGGGTCTGAAAAGAAACAGAACTGGAAATTCAACCAAGCAGAAATCCTATTTGAAGATGCTCCCTTCAGAGCTGCACAAGTTGGGCAAGCTCAGCAAATTTCTCAGGCAGCACTCCAAAACTTCACCTTCAAGAAGCCCTCAATCTATTTTAAATACCAACCTCTGAGCATCCAGGACAGTAGAGTAGCAGCCTCTGCAGAAAATCTGAGCACACATCACATACAAAGTTCAACTTCTTTCCATGCACAATGGATTTATAATTAAAAAGCCAAGCATTTCAGGCCTGCAAAACACAGCCTTAGAAAAGCAGATTCGCTTTCCAGGACCCTCAGGCATGCTGTGAATGATGCGAGGTTGGCCGGATCTCTGCCCCACAGACACACCTTCCACGGGGTCTACTGTAGCGTCCCAGAACACCTTCTCATCCCACACACTCCCTAGAAAGCCCTGACGGAAAAGGCAAAGCCACTACAGAAAACACCTATATTAAAGAACTTAGGTAAAGGCGTTAAACTAAACCCGCATTAAATACCAGCATTAAGCCTGAACGTTTGAGTTCTTTTCCACTTCTGTGCATGTGGTCAGATCTACTCAGTTATAAGATAACAGGCCACATCACAAAAGCCTGCCTTCTATGAAGCACAAGGAATCAACCCTTGAGGGTCGGTACTTGCATGAGTACAGCATGCGCCTGTACTGCCAGTGACTTTCAATATCAGTTTACTAAACAAGAGTACGCGCAAGGTTGTTGTACAGCTATATAGCATCACCTTGACAGAGACGAGGGAAAACTGTCTCAATACATAGAATTAGGGCAGAGGGTGAAATCTTGCCTCCTTATATTCTTGAGCCATACAGTGAAAAGCCCAGCTAAAAACATCAGCACAACCCTTACTAAGCTCTCACATAATCAAACACAGGAGCACAGCCAGGCATCGGCAAGCAGACCCTGACTGGTGATGTCAGGTGCTTACAGCAAGTATTAAGTCCTTGACAGCCACTAACTTTACCTGCTTTAGCAAAACCAAAGCTACTTGTTTTTCTGCTAACTTTGGGAAACAAATAACAACACGTCAAAACTTTGATGACTCAAACAGATATATGGCAAGTGATTTTCCCTGCGGTTTGACCAGCAAAACAGCTGATGTTCTCTCCAGCATGAATCATCTTGGTTACAGTTTGCCTGCACAGCTTAGATGTTTTGTTGAAAAACTTTTTATACAAAATACGGAAGCAGAGATTTGGAGCATCCCACTGAAGGAAAACCAGGCTTTACAAAAACTTACTTCCCAAATTGCTTCTTGAGCTTCCCTCAGTCTCTAGAGAGGCCTCTCTCTCCGACTCTGTAACTCTCCTCAGGCAGTGTCCACAAGGGCTGAGACACCTTTCCCCCCTCCGCCAAGTCCTTCAGTCTCCAATTAATACCACCACAAAAGAATCAGAAAAGGGAAAGACAATCACCGTCCCCAGCTGACAAAGGCATAGCAGAAAGGAGGAATGCTACTGTATGTAGAATATTTCAAAAGAGAGTCAAGATGAGAAGGTAAATTTACTGTATTAGTAAAGCTCATTGCTACAAAAAAATGCCTAGAAAACAGATAACGGAAGAACAGCCTGAACCCTTATTTCTATCCTTTGCAGAAGAAAGATTAAGTCTCTTCTTTCCCTTAAGCTCTTTCAAACAAGACAAAACCCGATTATCTAAGCAACAACAGGGAGTTAAGTGACAGCCAAGGAGGAAAGTCAGTCAGCTGGAGAGTGCTGCTTTCTTGGAGGCCCAGGGCAAACTTCAAAGTCTGCCCACCAGGTCCCTGACCATCTCAGGAGCAGGGCTGGACGCCAAGGGGCTTGAGCTCTCATTGCTCCAAAGCCCAGAGACCCAATCTACACTTTGCATAGAAGAGATTCAGCCCCACTGTCTATCACAGTGAGGTTTTCCTTCCCTCGATAAGCCTGGTAACGCTTACGCAAAGGGAAAGCAAACGTATCTCCCGGCTCAGGTTGTGTAAGTTCACTTGCCGGATTGCATTTGGTTCGCGGACGCGAGAGACTGGATGCAACGACATGCAAGGAAGCACCACACAGCAAGTCGGGATGCTATCAACACTGACAATGGCAGAGTCTGCACCAAGGACAAAACAGCAGTCTGGAGGGACAGGAGCTATAGATTCCCTCCACATACATGGAGGAGGAGCCCACGCGGCACAGGAAGACGTTTGTTATTATGGAACAACACTTATCTCTGCAGCGGGTGGATGAAAGCTGTTACTACACGAAGGCTGGAAGGAAGCAAGTCCCAAGCCAAGTGCCAACACGCTCTTTTCTTTTCTTTCCTCCCCCTGTATGAAAACAACTCCTCTATGGCAAACCGTAAAGGCGACGAGCGGTCAGGGCACCTTACCCCTCACCGCAGCGGGGAGCGGAGCACAGGGACACTTGCCCTGCCACCACTGTCACCCTCCACCTCGCTTCCCGGGCAGCCCCGCCCGGGCCATGCTGCCAAACAACGCCGAAGAGCTTTCATTTGGGGTGGTTTGGTTCTTTTTTAAGTGAACGCCAGGATGGGAAGGGCAGGAGGGATTCACCTCCCTGCTGAGGGGGCTCTGGCCTTGCAGCGGCAGACACCAGCGGTAACGGAGCCACCGCTGGGCCGCTCCGACCCACCGCCTTCCCCCGCAGGGCAGGCGGCCGGACCCCCCCAAGGCCCCTCAGGGTCCCTCAAGACCCTTCAGGGCCCCCCAAG